TGTTTCTTATAGGTTTTTGACAATGCTCTTTGCAGTGGCATCGTTTTTAAATATTGAGAAAGTTTTCTGAAGGGTTTTCCAGAGATCGGATCTCTGGAAAACTCCTCAGGAAACTTTTTCAAAACCCTTCTCTCATGCCATTAGAAAGAGGATCATGAAAAACCTATAAAAATAGTTCAGGAAATTTTAGTTCACTCATAAAGCTAAAGTCCGCCTGCTCTAGCAAAAAATGCCCACTGTGTCACGTGCATAAGTTTTCACCCCTTGACGGCGACCGCACAGGGGCAAAATAAAATTTACTCGCGGTGCAGTTTGCAGGTTAGCAAAAAAATCTTTTATTCTGGACAGCACCCAAGCGTGAAAAAAAATCTAGTATGGCCCGATTCATCTTGATTACTAGATTTTTTCTCGATTGCAACTACAGTGTAACGACAGTGAAAATCTAGTAATTGAGCGATTCCTAGATTTTTCCTAGTTGCAACTATCGATTTATCGCCCGATAATCGATGGATTCAACTATTGCTAGGTTTACATGTAAGCGTATCTAGTTAAAAGTCCCGTTTCTAACTAGTAATGTAGATGACAACTAGTCGTGCATCGCCCGGTTATAGACGAAATGTATCTAGATTTTTTCGATAGGTGATGTTTGCTTGGGCAGGCAGATGTTTAGGGTGAAAAGTTCTGCACTGTCCTGTCCTGCAGATGGATCCTAAGGCGAAGTATAACAATTTTTTTCCCTACTAACCACTACCAGTCTGTATTATGAACTGATAATTATAGACTGTATCACCAGTTACGATTCGCTGTTCTTGTTCTAAATTTTTCTCTTTCGGTATATATAACGCTAACAAAACACAAAAGAGTTTTGTCACCTATCCACTATACGTACGGAGCATAGTAATAGAAATATATTACATACAATAAGAGCGAATCATTGTTTTTCTTTATTCTATATTTTTCGTTGAGTTGAGTTGAGTTTAATTTAAACTAAACTAAATAATCTCTTAAAGAGATCATTTTGATGCTCAGTGTGATCAATGTTTTTTCTTGGTCTTCTCTCTCTTTTTGTTCTCCACGCAAAAAAGTGAATGCAGGTAAAATATTTTCTCCTGCAAGGAGTGCAGGCAGAAAAACATTCTTCTTTATCTGTCGGCCGCCAGTGGAAACAGTTTTCATTCACCTGCAAACTGCAACTTGCAGTCAGTTTAAAATGCAGGTGATAAGCGCTGAAGAAAACACATCTTTCCGTTTTAATTTCTGCTTTTTTCTTGCCTGAAGTATTCAACTAAAAAGGACATTCAAACAAAAATAAAAAAATTTGCTCTCTGAATGCCATACTTGCATACCTAATGTGGTGCAGTGTAATACAGCAACATATAAGGAGAGTCCACTAAAATTTGATTATGCAAACGTGAAACAGAATCCGACAGGCAATCTCGAACTGCAATTCGGAAAAACGGAACGAACTAAAAGGTTATAGTGAAATGCCTTTTTACCGGTTCGGGCTTACGGATTTAGGGCAACTCATCATTATCTGCATGAGAGTTCATTTGATTAGGGATGGCTCAATGTCGGTGCACTGATAACCGACGACATCGACACTGACGCTCACTGATACACAGCAATACTGACACTGGCAAACACTTGACACACTGACACATCGACACTGACAATCACTGAAACAGTGAATTACTGACACTGATGAACACTGACACACTGACGCATCGATACTGACAATCAGTAAAACACTGAAACACTGACCGTCACTGACCAGAATACCTGGGCAGAAGATCAAAAGACTTTTTATGTCCATTACCATCATGAATCATGCGTATATTCCGTCGATGTTTTCTTTCTTTTTGCTGGCAGGCGTATAGGTGCACACGTAAACAATTCTCTTCTAGCTACAGGCAGTGTGCCGATCGTCTATAAGGCACTTATTTCTGTATACTTGAGATTTTTCCAGTTTATATCTGCTTTCATAAGATTTTCAAAGTGAAATTAAATAACTAATCTAAAAGTGAGCACGCATAAAATCTAAGGGTTTTTATTGTGTATAGACTGAATCGATGTGTACTGTAGAGAGATGCACCTTGATTGCATCATGTTCCCGCAGAGAAAACCGGGTAAAACATGATGAAATCAGTGTCTCAGCTTAACAGACACTTTCTCCTTAAGAGATCCTTTTATGTTAAAACGTTTTGCTTTTTATTCTTCTTTTATATGTAAATCGCTACATAAGAATTCATGAATGTTAAGACAAATTGATTGGTGAATTTTTGTTCCTGACTGGGTGTACAGTCTCTCTTTTATACACTCATGTCTTTGGGAAACATTCTTTATTCTTGTATTTATCTTCAAGAGCTTCAGAAACAGCTTCTCTCTGACACTAGAGTAAATTGATGAACCAAGATTACTTTTAGGATCTAGAGATTTAGGAGAGTGAAATTATTAACCGTTCTAACGGCGCTATCCGGTTCCGAGAAAGTTTTATTTTCCGAATACCCAAATGAATATCCAAATTTAGATTATGAAAAATTTGCTGAAGAATCGGTTCGCGGCATAGTCGTGTCACGCTAATTGACATGTTCTAACACAGTAATAAGGTAGAAGGTGACACTAGCTCTAATCGACACACTTAGAGGTGGCCATAGCGGCTTGGTGACGGCTCCGAAGGTGGCCTCTTAGTGGCACCTCTGGAGACGGCAATAGCCATTTCGAAAATATTAACACAAGCAGCCATTTCTGGCAGGTAACTTCTTCCAACAAAGTAGGTGCGTGGTGATCGAAAAAGTCAAAAAAAAACGTAAATGTCCTGGGTTTTGAAGAAATTCTAAGCATAATATTACCAACCGCTTTCAATATCTGTTAGTGGGTTAGCCCTCACCCCGTCCTTATATGAAAGTATCCTCGACGTCTTATTGTTTTCTAGCTGACTAAGGACAAGAGTAGAAACGAGTGACGTTTTGAGATTCTTTCCATTAATACAACGAAATTGCTTTTATTTACATTTCAATCTGTATAAAAAATGCACTCCACTTTTATATTAACCGATGTTTGATGAGTGAAATGAAAACATAAAATTGTCGAAAATAAATGAATGGAAAAAAGTAAACTCATTCCACGATAAACCAGATTATAGTGCAGTGACGTAGAGTTTTTAGTTTTCGTATACTTAACTTCTTCAACTAATAATTAATAAAATTAATTAAAACATAATTAATATCTTGAGAGATTTTTATGTTAGTCAATACTAAATCTTGTGTCGTGATTTCTTTTCGATTTTGATATAATATGTATGCACGATTATAAGGTGGAATGGATGGTGAAAAAAAGATTAAACATATTTCTTTTGACCGTTCTGTTGCGAGTGTTTTTACACTAACAATAGCTAATTAACAGGATAGATCAATGCTGGGTATGGATGTCACCTGTATCGTCGTACAATTCCTCAGCTGTGGATAGTTTGTCCAACGGTCAATTAACATTTGATCAGCCGTCACGTTTTGTGTTTCATTATAAAATGTACCAATCATTTGTCGTATATTCAATAAAGCCCATGTACCATTTCGTACATCGGGTTCAACAATTGATCCTTCCGTGAAATCATCCCATGTATAAATAAATAAACGTGTGATTTGATTTATCCTGAAATAATCAAATTGTGCTTGTAACAGTTGAGTTTCTCTTGGAATTGTACGATTTTGACATGCACCCCAACTTTCTGTATAATCATCAAAACCAGAACTTAAACCACCGATAATAACACGACCAGTGGGAAGAACAGATTGTAATAATGGTCCATAAACAAGTGATAACCATTTTAAAGTTCGATTATAAGTAGGTAAATTTGATGATGTCATTGTCCAGGCAACATAATCGACCCATGGTGCTATTGCATCAAATTGATTAATTAATGACGATGTTGTTGCTATTGCATAAAAATCAAGATTTACTTGATTTCGTACCGATGTCCATATAGATGACCATTCTGATGCATTTAATAAATTTCCGCCTAACGATGTATAAATAAATATAACCGGTTTTTGATTAATTAAGTAGGATGTTGACATATTAGTCATTTTGACTATATCAACAAAGTCCTTAATTGTTGTATTTAGACAACGATCACGTGAATTAGTTTGATTTGAATTGTCACATTTACCCAGACCTAAATTTGATGAAAAAGAATATAGCCATGTTGAATCATAACCAGGTATAATTGAATTTGTTTTTGAACGTTGAAGAAAATGAATATAAGCTTGATACGGTATTTCAACATTCAATGATGGATTTGATAAATATTTTGATGATAGTTGTATTGATTCTAGTTGTATAGACCAAGCATCGAGACGAGCATGACCATAATCACAACTGGGTGAGCTCGATGATTGATTACGTAGTGTCGATAACATAAGATCAATACGTCGTTGTGATTCTAAATTTTTTCCACTTGATGAATAAATACCAGCTAGTGGACGATATCGCGATGATATCTGTCGTTGTGGTTGAGTACTATACTCAGTTGAACAGTTTGAGGGATTTGCATTTGGAATACATGTACCTTGTGCACCAACAGACCAATGATTCGTGTATGAATCGGGTCCCGGACCTTGAGGATCGGTCGGTCCTATACCATACCAACTCACACTGAACATGGAAACAAATTTTGATGGCATATATGTTGATAAATCATAGGTGTGTGTTACTGCTCCATTGGAATTTGGGATCCACAGGATGATGTAAACCAAAAGTAGCATCATTTCATTAAGCAATAAAATAGAAGTATCTCTGAAAGCCAAATCAGTTACGTTACTTCTGCCTTTATCAAAGAAGGACAAGTAAAAGAAAAGTTTAAAATAAATACAGTTTGAATCACAAAAAGTTTTTTCTTTCATTTTCTTGATATGTTTTCTTTCAATAATCTCACTTATGATAGAGTGCATATATTTCGGTTTTTACATTACTATTTCATAGATACAACGAAAAAACAGGTATCTGCAGCCAGTGGCGGCGCCATGAGGTTGGGAGCATGGGAAGGGGAGGGTAAATCCAAAAATGGGAGTAAGGTCTCCAAAAATAAGCCCCTGATTCTCCGAGCTCATGGTGAAGTATAAATAATTGATGAGCATCACTCATTAAGTTTGCCTAAACGTTACATTCACTGTAAT